CTTCAAGGTTATGGGGGGACACCCTCCTCCCCCCCCAAAGTACAGGGCATCTTGGTGGAGGGGGAATTTTTAAATTAAGTAGGATTTATATGTTATTAATAAAAGTCCTCTCTATCTTAGTAGCTGTTTCCAGAACCTAAATGGTTAAAGTAGAAAATGTTAGTAATTTTGCTGCAAATAAATTGATCAGTATGCAAGACGGTTGTCACCGGCTGAATCATGGTCCACAGTTAAGGTAAACAGATCTGTGATGACATTTTCTGAGCAGAATACCAATGCTGCTACATTTCTTCCCAGAGGTTTCTGACACTTCTTATATGCGGATAACATTTCTCTCCAAGAAGGTTTTGTTCACAGGAAAGAAATAGCATCTTTGTAAGAGTCTTCCTTAAAGGTGGGATTTATTACATTTCCCGATTTATTTGTTATCGTAATTCTGTTAAGAGCATGGAAAGGAATGTTTTTGCTTTTCTGCATATCCTCTCTGCACAGTAGATCTTTCTGATGTGGAGTCTATTTAAAATATCTGGCAATGGAATGCAAGTAAAACAGTATTAACAGTTAGCAGGAACAATGAAAATGTATTTTTTATATTCTCTGAGAGCGAGCTTGGTTTTATAATCTCTGTAGTTAACATGTAAAAGCAATGACTGAATATACAGCTAGATTTTTAGCATAGGTGTTTCTGTGAAATATTTTTGGCTACATGATGGCTTCATATTTTCATTGGCATATTCTAAAGTAAGAGATACGATTTAGTTTATTCTTAAATGTCTCTGTGCTAGGCAGAAAATCCCCTTTGCAATTGACTGCAGTCAAAACCTTTTTGCTGAGATGCATCTAACTCCCGTATGACTTCAGGGTATGGAAAAATACAGTTTCCAAAGAAGTTTTTGAAATCTGCTTTCTTAGAACATGTAAAATCTCTGTGTATGATACTGTTCACGGGAGAGGGCACGATCGTAATTCTGTATTTAGCCTTAGATCCACATTTACTTGGAGGTGATTGACATCTCAGTCGTTCTGTGGATTAGCGATTGGAAATCTGTCGCGTTTGTATTGATAAAAGTAGAATCTCGTTCGTTAAATCAGATCCTGGTGTCTGGCTTTCATCCCGTTTATTACAGTAGATACTGGAGGATGAAAGAGCCCTATGGAGAGCGTGCTCAGTGGTACCTGACATGTAATAGCAAACCTGGAACTGGTCGTTAAAGTTAATGTCGGGGATTCAAAGTCCATTGAAGTCAGTGAAAGCATTTCTCCAGTAGGCTTCAGATTTAAACCTGGCTCTGTCCGTGTCTGGCGTGTGTAGGTGAGAGGAGTATAGCCTGGGATGCCTGAGTGGCTGAAAATAGTGTGGTTAATAGGACCTTTTGTAAGATGGACTTACAGAGTCTTGTCATGCACAGCGTCTGGTTGTATTTCAAAGTGTCACAGCAAGATGTATGGCTACAGTTTCTGTAGAGGAGCAGAGCAGGAAGCACCAGCTCCGGAGCTGCATGATGCAGGCTGTGAAGATACTGGCCAAAGAGCTGCGCTTCTCTGGGGGGTGTCTCAGCAAGTTGCAGATTCGTGTCAGAGATGAGTTAGAGCTGCATTTCAGGCAGTGGATCTCGGGTGGGGCTCAAGATTTGAAGTTTGGGCTTAAGAGCCATGGTTTAATAATCCTCCAGGTTCATCCTGGCGTGTTGCACCATCCAGT